ATAGTTCATTTACATTAGTGATTATGATTGTAATCACACAAAATTGTCATTATTATTTCTTACCTTTTTAAGTCTACAATGACTATTGTTCTCTTCTGAAAGTTATACAGTTTTATATAATCATTAACATCGAAATCAATATCGTTATTTCACAAAACATGCACAGAATAACCTCAAACTATATAAAACTGTGATTTTCCAATCAACATAACACTCGTTCTTCAACGTAAAATGGTTTTCACAATTCCATTTTTTTTTCGAAGAAAAAAACTATTATAGCTTGAAATAACCATTTTTTTCGAAATTTGATACACTAATAAGTAGTTCTAACAGTCAACAATTAGACTCGTAAATTTAAAAACAACTAGGATTTGTGATACAGTTGAGTACCTTATAAATTTTATATTTCAAATTATCATAAATTATTTAGATTGTATTTTTAATTAATCTGATAAGTCTTGAGAATTGAACGCTATATTCGTTTCCTCAGCTATTCTGGAAACCCGCAAGCTAGAACTACACGGTGACCTGAACACCAGAGAAAAGACGAAAAGTATGGGAGAAACACTTTACTCCAAAGTTCGTCCTTGTACAGAAAACATGGGTATTTATAGATGTTAGCGTTTATTAAATCAACATCATACTTCGGTCAATCTGTTAACGACATATTATGCTATTGACCAATAGTAGCACGCCACGTTGGAATTCTAGAATGCTCCATCGTGCCCTGATTGGCTTCGACTCCTTTTGAGCCTCTGGAGGCTCCATTGAAGTTTTTCGAAAGCCGACTCAACATAACCAATATCATTGTGGTGAATGAGAACACCAGTGGATACAACCAAATGTATTTGAGTACAAAATTACTGAATTTCCTAGTAAAATCCGAGAACCACATAGTAAATACTTGATTTACAAAACGTCAGTCAATTTTCTCAGGCTTCATTGTTCCTTCCTTTCCATACAAATCAATCTCTGTTCTCGCTCTCTTTTCTTTGATCTTCTTAGCCTTCTGCAGCCAGATATTTCACTTTCGACTGATGGTATATATTACTTATATCTGTCGACATCAGTAGCACACACCACATTATTAGTGATTTATCAACTTATCAAAAAAAACCAAGTTCTCATTTTAGAAATAATAAATATTTTTTTAATTTATCAACATCTGTTCACTTTGACTTGCACTAGACTACGTGACTGGTTAGTCATACTCTTTTACAAGCTTTAGAAATTGGACAATTGAACTAATTACTCTCTCATACTTAGAGCTCATCCACGTTTAACTTGTATTCAACCTGCCTAATGAATTAAAACAACAGTAATAATTGTCAACTAAATTTTAAACTTCTTTAACAGTATAATCAATTGTTGCAAGTTTCTCTGCTTTGCATTTATAATAAATTTATAACAAGAATACAATACGAAAGTTTACAATATATAATGTTTAGTTTAGTATTGTCTACTTTGATGCATAGTTTATATGGAGCACGAAGTACTTAGATTTTGTTATAAACTAGTAAAGTGATTGACAATGAGTTTGTATTATTTTAGTAAGTGAAAAATTCCTGTTCTCATTTTGAGTATATTGTCTTTGCTTATAATAAGTGATATTAGTCTGTACTACACAAAACTTTTGCCGACGCTGAAGTTTTGTTTACTCATTTATTCATCTTGTTCTAATGTAATTAATTATTACTTTCACTTTCAAATTTGTTCTTTCTAACTATTAACTAATATAATTATTTTTCCATTTTGTTAATATTATATATGGCATATGCAATCAAATTTTATTTCATTATGACGTATCCTATTTCAGCTTTCTTTTAAATATTATTAGTGCTAACTAACAAATGATAGAATACATTTTAAATATTATTAACTGTATTAAAAGTTGAAATTACATATAATAGTTTACATCTTAAGATTTTAAACACAAAGAGTATTTAGAACGGACGGTCGTTTTCAATAAATTCTTCGTCAGATTCTACAGTTATAAAACTAAAAGTACCATTTATGTGTTACATCACCTTAGTCAAAACTTAATTTCTTCTCACTCTTTATGTATAATCTTTTTCATCATTATCAGTGATGTTATTTTATTAGTAATCTGTAGTATTAAAGACTTTACTCATTTTCAATTCTAACTTGAATCGATATAATTTTAATGCTTCAACTATTGCAAAACAATAATAATAATAATAACAATTTTGTTTTCATAACTATAGAGACTGATGGAGAAGTTATCGAAAATGACCATTCGGTTTAATACATTTTGTTTTTGAATATTCTATGTAAACTTTTAAAGTGCCTTAAGAATTATAAAGTTATTAATAAACTAGTCAGTAGATGAATTGTTATTTTTGTGTAAACTAGTGTACTAGTCTAAAGACTAAAATGTATGCAAATTAAATAACAAATTTCAAATTATCTCAAGATTTGATCCATCTACTGAATTTTTATGATAATTATCAGTAAACCGATTATTGTCATTGTTATAAACAGTGATAATGTCACAATTGATTGATCACTGGTGGTGATTACAAAGTGATAAAAGCAAAGTTTTCAACGGCAAATTGTCAGTTATCTCCTATGACACTTAAAATCAGTAAAGTTCTAAGAATATGTTCGTTTCATCATCAACATAACGTGTTGTCAAGATTAGTAATTAGTTTTTGTAAAGCCTACCTAGTCATTAATTCTTAAGAAAAATTTGATGTTATACTGAATGCACATTAAAATCGCTGATGTGGACTTCTTGTTATCTAGTAAAGAGTTAATAAGTAAAGTATATGACACCAACTAAAATATATGCATATAGCTTTTTAGTAGTAGAAGCTAAAATAAAACGAGTTAAAAATAAATGACGGATTAATCTTGCGAAATCACTGCCAAAAGTACACTTCATAGATTTAACAAGCATTTCATGAGAAAATTACTGACGTGTAATAGTACAGCTGATCAGCCTTCTCGAGCATCATATATGAGTCCAATTGTTACTCATTACACTACTGACATATCGTTTACTGAAATGTCAATCATTTTCAATTTTATATGGACCGTTCATAAAACATTTACTACAAAACAGACAGCCCATAAAAATGTTCACCATTGATTTTTCAATCACTCTGTGTATTTCATAACACATTACATTTTCATATTGACATGTTAAGCTTGATGAAACTTCAGCGAAAATCCGTATTTGTTTTCACTTTTTAGGGCCATTTAAACACATGCTTTTCATGTAATCACCTTGGTTTTTTGAGGCACGTTTTTCTATCCAATGTTTTTCAATTAAATCAAATAACTTACAACAAGCTTATACATGTAAACAAACCATATTTTTCTAATAGACTTCATGATGATAATCTTATATATGATCCATATTAACTCATGTATTCAAAATGTCTGATTCAGATCAGTACGCGTTTGTTTATTATTTTCTGTTAACAGTGATGATAATGATAAACAGATCTTTTATTTAGTTATAGTAAATCGATTGTAACGAGAATTTTCGCTAAATAGCTGACAGAAAATAATATTTAATGAGCGTTTGACTTTCAACTGATATTAATCCACTGATTGAATTAAAAAGTAGTTACGGATTTCTATTAGAATAGAATCCCACTAAATTTGATGGCTTTTAATATTACCTTCGGCTCTAATATTTGTTATTGAAGGTTAATCTTGAAAAAAAAATCAATCTTAGAAGTTTCAAGTTAAAGCCTATTATGTATTTAATTTACACAGAAACTATGCACACTAAGTTGGTGTAATAAGAAGGCGAAGATTATCAGAACTATACATATTAATTCTTTAAAATATCTCTCCTAGATTTTCCTGTGGATTTTTGTATATCACTGTAAAAAAGTATGTGTTCATCATCTATCACTTACATAATAATCTATTTGCTCTTACCAAAAGTAGTATATACAGTAGAATGTTTTTCAGTAGTGTTACTTCTGAGTTCTCTACCACATTACTAGAACTAGTTCCTAATAAAATTTAAACTTTTACTGGCTTTTCTGTTGTTACACTAATACTGAATCTTGTTTAATGTTTCTTATATTTTTCCTCACCAGTTTTTTAAATTAAAATCATGTATGTGTAACTAAGTAATAACTATTTTCTCATGAGAATCATGTTGAAAAGGATGTTTCCATTAGCTAAACTAGTTTTGTTATATCGAACAAACTGCCACCTCATGTTAATTTCAATTGGATTTACCGGTGTACATGTTTGCGCCGAGGTATTTACATTATAGGAAAACAAAGGTGGTTTTTGTTGGTATCTCAAAGCAAATTCGACAAACATTGAGATTAAAAGTTCAGCGTATTTTTAACAACCTCTTTAGTCGTCATTTATTCAATAATTAATATAATTTTGATATTTTAAAATAGTTTAATATAATCAGCACTTAACTTTGAATTTATCATATTACACCAAGGCCTCCCTATTCAATTCTTTTAAAACTGCCGTCATTATTCTAGTAATTTTCATTGATAAAATAAATTATGTAAATTGATTATAAACAACTATAACTGTTGTTTCTAAGTCGTAAGCAGCTTATATTGATTCACCAAACAAACCAATCCACTTTATTCAGCTAAACTTGCTTTACTTTTATTTATCATTGGGAAAATTTACATAAAGTATACAAAGAATGTTAAACCAATATTGTGGGAGTGTAGTTCTGCATCGACAACAATTATTCATATCCATTTTAAAACCTATAAACCTAATTGTAAAATATGAAAGTTAATCAAACTTTTTCTGGGTCAATTTAATTGACAAAATTCAATATGGTTTTGTCATCACTGTTCAAACCATATTTTTGTTTTATGTAATATATATTTACATTTATAAATTATTCCCTGTTTCTTTCACTGACATTTTTAGGAGGCTTCAATGATTTTCTTTTGAATAGTATATTTCTTTTTACGTTTTACTTTGAATTTATATTCTGTGATAATAACATCATATTACTTCATTTATATTTATAGAAACATCTATAGTTCAGCAGCCTGTTGGTCTGGTACCCACTACCTACTATGGTCCTCAACCTGTCTCTTCATCATGTGATATTTGCATGAATAAGATTACTACAACAGTTCAGTACCGTAAAGGAGTATGTACTTGGATGGCTTGTACTGGAATAACATTAATTGGGTAAGTTTTTATAAGTTTAGTGAACTGTCAAAATTTATTAAAATGAATAATTTTTTTTGTTTCTATAAATATTGTAGTGTATAACTCAATACCCTATATAAATATGTAATGTTGCTTCAAATTACGTAACTGAATTCGATCGAACACAAATACTACAGTTGACTGATTATTTTTACATAATTCGTATTTTTCATATTCCACTACAAAGTAATCATTTATCATTAACGTATGAGTAAATGTTATATTTCAAACAAACGACCAGTTATAAATGAAGAATGTTGTTATCTAATGAAACATTCTAGAAATTTACTGCCTAAATTTATTAAGATTTTGGGACTTCTAAGCTGTAAATATTTATTATGCATAGTTTCGTGTCCATTTACTCGTATATAATTTATTAGAAAACAACTAACTTTAAATTCATGAAACTCATTATAATGTTTACTGACTGATGGATGCCTGAGAGCAATCTCCGAAAAGTCTGAAAATAAGCTTTCAAACTAGTTGGTACTAATTAACCGGGTAGATCTGTCATAATCAAGAGATCGATCAATACTCTTTGCTTTGTTTATCTGTCTGATGATTCTTCCAAAGCATATAATTGTGTATTCTATGGTGTTTTTTTATATGTAATGTTCAAATTATTGATCAAACTCACTGTATACAGTATTAGTTTATCATTAAGGATTTTCTACATAATTTCAATTTATAGCCATAATTTCTAAAATTCATGAAATACCAGGAAGATGATAACAATAAAATCTTATATAAATCTTCATCATATTTTATGAAAATAAAAAGATATCCGTACAAGTGAATCACTTTCAGTTTAAATGTACAATTCATGAAAATAATAAATTGGAACTTTCCAAAATATTCCTTTTAAATTAATTATATTTGCTCATTAATTATTCGGTAAACTATTGGTTCTGGAAGGTATTCGATTCTCGGATTATTTCTCTTTACAAATGTATACTATAGCTGTCTATTGAATTTCCCCCTTTTTTTATTTTTACTTCCTTTCATTCTTAACATTATAGTTTTCTTTAAATATTCAGTATAAGGTGATAGGTTTTAAGTTTCACTGACCACAGTCCAATTAATTGATACTAGTTAATTTTCAAACTATGAACTATAGATTTATTTAATGAAATAAGATTTGAAAAAAAGGTATAGATACAAAATTTAATAATGGGATAGCTATTCACTTATTATGTCAATAGTTAATGAAACAAACAACAAAATAAGTAATTTTAATAGTTGAGATCATGAGTTAATTGGAAGTACAGGATGGCTGTTTCGTTCTAATATGAAACTCCTCAACAAAATAAGTATCTAGAATATTTTGATGAAACATGATAATTCACTTAGTATTGTTTGGCTTGAATCTTCTGATTGAATTTTTTTAAGACTGCAATTGATCAGTCTGTTAATGGCATATGTGCATCCCATTGCACAAGCAGGTGGCTATCAGGACTCAATAGCTGAGTGGATAACGTGATGGCGTTTGAAGCGAATGGTACTGGGTTCGAGTCCCAGAGTGAACATCAACTCCGAGATGCAGATACATCCAGCCAACGAGTCCTAACTAGAGAGAAACGCGCGTCCTGGATTCCGTTGCTAGCCACTATCCATCGTTGCTTACAAAACACGATAATTGTTTTTGCACGATTCGTATGTTATAGAATTATATTAAAATATGATTAGAAGATGAGGTATGTAATAAAACAATGTTTTCTGTGTGTTTATAGCCGATCATATTATTAATTAATTATTGTGATTATCAATTTGTTATTCTAGCGGTATATTCGGATGCTGTTTAATACCATTTTATGTGAATTCATGCAAAGATGCTTATCACAGTTGTCCAGAATGTGGAACATTACTTGGAGTTTATAAACGTATTTAAAATCTATCATCGACTGCTACTTCTTTTTTTTCACAAAACGTTGTTTTCTTTCTTCCTCATTTGTTTTAATCTAATGAGCTTTTGTATGAAATATAAGTGAAAATAAAACCATATTAAGTTATCCTGTATTATTTTAATGGATGTTCATCTTGATTTCTCAACTTTTATAATTTTCGTATTATTCACATTACTCAATATTGTCTGTATTCCTGAAATAATATATAGTTTCAGTTTTAACTTCCATATATACAATATGCTTCATAATGACACAAAAATGTACACAAGTAAGAAAAACAATTTCTATCCTATTTTATTTAACCTACTACAACAATGTACTGTGTTTTGATATTATCAATTTAAACCGTTTCATCTAACAAGTGTTGTGATAACACTTTTCATGTTTTTTTTATTATCACTTCCTTCAGACGTTGTTTTATAACTTTTAGCTAACTATTGCCATAATATGTGTTACCTATCATTACATCTATCATTTTGAATATATTTTTAAAGAAAAAGCTATTGCATAAAATACTATATATATATATATATATATATATATATATATATATATATATATATATATATATATATATATATATATATATATATATATATATATGCAAGTTGGATTTCTTTTCAAATGGCAAAACATATTGTCCTTCTACATATGTACATCAGCCGACACACTACAATTGTTTATCTTATTATTAAAACACAATTATATGAACGAAGAATATTCTTTTCAATAATTTCTCATCAAGTCAAAATAAATTTACATATTTATTAAATGTTTATTTTGACAGAGTACCTTTTCTGTGTAACACATATTGCTGGATATTAAATTACTTTGTTTTGTTTTGTTGAGTCTCTTAATGTACATAAAAAAACAACATGTTTCATTACTCAGAAATAAGTAATAAGTAATATTTATTTGAAAACTTTTACGATTGTCTTTATTTGTATCTTATGAATGTGAATGAATAAAATACTTCAAATAAAGTTAAATTTTTTCACTTCATCTATTCCTACAATCAAATAAAACTTCAATCAATTTATCATTTGGTTCATTCATTTGTTGGTTAAGTTGCCTGGTATTACCCTCAATATAGCTATCTCCATCGGAGTAGCAATATTAGATATACTATCAATCATTTTAATCAATGAATGCGTGAACATCTCCCAGCTTGGTATGAAAAGGGCTTAACAAAGACTATTCTCAGACCTATATTAGAACACCTGGTTGATAGTGGACTTTTGGTAATTAAAATCATTTCAATTGATCGATCATATACCTTCATTGTTTCTCAGTGAGGTCTGATCTTGTCTGCAATATATAGCAGAAACTATAGGGACCTAAACCTTCAACCCGAGTTTATGAATTCAGAAGAAATTCGACAGAATCCTGTACTTTCCTTGGTTGTATAGTCTTCTTCCTATCAAATTGTACATTTTTACCTATTATGTGTAGTTATGCAATCTTTTACACTGTGATCACTGATGTATGAATAATTCTAAGTTTTCTATTATTGTCATATACTTAAATAAATATACATGTATACTAGCATGAAGCCTGATGAAGATCTAATTGTAAACAATGTTGTTCTAATTTACAATTTAGAGTTTTTTAACACTTTAAAAGTGCTAAAACCTCACTTGTAAAGAAGCCACTAAGAACACACATTCCACATAGACTTGTGTCATACCAATCGTCGTTAATTTCTGTAATAAAATGTTTTCAAAAGCTAACCCCTATTGACTACAACATAAACTTCACTAATTAGAAGTTAAAACTATGGTTTTCACATTCCAGTTGGATTATGTTCCTTATTTTTCGCTGAATCAATAATTAAAAATAAAAATATTCTCAAAATAACTTTATGAACTAGCTGTTATCACTAAATCAATCACTTATACAATAATTGTATAGTATATAGTGTAAACTGCTTAATGCAATAGTTATTAAAATATCTGTGAATAATAGTAATCCAAAAAAATGTCTGAACTTATTTTTTTTAATAAAAACAGGAGGTATTTTAAACTGTGGAAATAAACAACTTTACTGAAATGGCAAACTTGTTATATTTGAAAAGTTTTGCGGTCATAAAAGAAGAACGATGAAAGCTCCACGACAAAACCATCCAGCTCCCAGAACAAAACTCCATCAAGGTCATAAAAGTTCTATAAGTAATGCACTTATTTCAGGAATTAACGTTTGTAAATGTTTCTCGTTAAATTTGCATTTAGAAAGATAGTATACATACATTTAGTGATTTAATGAGTTAAAATTAAAGCTTAAGAAAGCTGTCAAACTAAAAAATAACTTTTAGTTTTAGTCACTATTTACTATCGCTTATTACAATAAATAAATTCGAATTTCCACAATACCATCACATTCTTCCATCACAAAATAAATAATGATTGATCTCAGGTGAAAATAATGGATGAAACAATTAGAGAACTATGTCATATAATTTTAATGGTTAAGATCATGAGTCAATTGAAGCTAGACAACCATGGAAAACCTAAGAGCACTGAACGGCCGTTTCTCCCTATTATAGGACCCCTCGGCAGTTCGCATCCACGATCTAGCCTCGCGAGATTCGAACCTAGGGCCTATCAGTCTCACACGCGAACATTTAACCTCTAGAACACTGAGCCATCATCTAACAGTTTTAATGTCTAATCCACGAAATTAAGCGAAACATCTACCATTGTCTCCAGTGAGTCACTAACTCATAACAGACCCAGTTAAACTCCGCTGGTCATTGCTTCTCACTAGAACTCCAGAAAATACCTTTTGAAGCCAGTCACTGGTGAGCATATATTGATTAGTATCAGAAGGGATTTTGCGGATATTATGATGATTTTAATTGTTGAGATCACTGCTGAGGTGTTCCACAATAGGACAAAATGGCCATTCAGTGTTTCCAGGTTTTCTGTGGTGGTCTACCTTCAACTGACTCCTGATCTCAACCATTAAAATTACTAATATATCATATAAGATAATTAACAGCTAGCTTTTTTTATCTATGAATAAACTATGAATTCTACTTAATATTGCTTAGGAATTTATTTTACTCTCTATCTAATAAGACGTTTGTGACCATGATTTCATAGACCAAGTTTCCCTTCTTCACTGTCGAACATTAAAAACATTTATTGACGTTAATAATAATATTTTAAAATGTAAAATGAAAAGAAATTAATTACTGATTCAATTAAGTAAAGTATCCAAGTACTGTTTTGATTCAATCTAATATTTCAAATTAATTCATTTTGCTTTCCAAAGCTTAATACATCACTTTATTACATGATTGTTTTAATTGATCATTTGGGCGGTGACTACCTTCTAGTTTATTTTATACATGGATGTGTATTTATATACATAGTTTTTTATTTATGAAAAGAACGTACTCGTAGTTGAAACTTTTATTGATAATTTTTATTATAGCTTGTGATCAAATTTTGTGTTGTGTTAATTAGGTATCGAAATAGATTTATTAATGTTTATTGCCAAACGTACTACGAAGTTCGGTAGTTGTGAAAGGAGTTTATTTAGTGTTACAAGTATATGTCCCTAAACGGTTTATTATCTGAGATATTTACTGACTTCCTAGGGAGTTTACTATGGAGAATCTATTTGATTTGTAACGATTCGGCACATTGTGCACACTCAACATCATCTGGGTTTATTCTAAAGACTTATGAAATAGCATGATGTGGAAAGTGTAGTACACAAACGTGTACTTAATTGTGTGGTTTCAAAATACCAGTCACTTAATTGGTATGTTTATAAATAGAAATTCATAATAGCAACAGTGTATTTTTAAAATTTTGCAATTTTTCATGCTCATTTACTTGGCCAACAATGGTATGACTATATTTAAATTAAATTTTGAAAGTTATGCATCTAATTAATTTTCATACTATTAAGTAAGTTGATGGACAGTTGCATGAACTCATTTATATGAAACTTAATTGCGTTACATCACGTTTTTCTTCTACATTACGGTACGACCATATACGCAAATGTCACTCATCTCTCAGTGTTTGTTTAGATAGTTTACTATTTATTAACGGTAAATTGTCTATGTAAAAGCTTTAGATGTTCATTCAGCCTCAGTTAAGGTTTAAGCAACAAATGATTATTAAGGTTTTTGAACGTAATGGAACTTATTAAATAAAGTACATTGAGACTGATATTTTTATTATTCTCAATCAGAAAACATTCTACTTAAAATCCATGGTGTTATACCGTTTTCTTTTCGTTTGTAACATGTTATAAAATGTCATTTACTCTCATTCGTTAGTATAAAGGTCAAATAAATAAATGAGTCGATCGTTTTACTAAGTTACTCTATAGGAACCGATAAAGTTTCATTGTATCCAGTGATTAAATGATATTGGCATATTGAATCCATAGTCGATTAAAGTTCTATGAAGTAATTAAAAGCCTATGTCAGTTTACAATCACCGACTATTGGGTTGCTGAACATACTGGATAATTCATTTAAACGTTATTTTAATGACTATCAGCAAATAAATGTTGTTATGCAAATTATAGGATAAATTAGTTCTGGAAACAATTTAATTTCACACATATCCATGAAAAGATAATAATCTAATCAAAACATCGATTTTATAATGAAGCATAAATTTTTATTGGATTATATAGATAAATCAATAATCAGAAGGGGTTTGTGGAGATTTTTAGAAATTTTCACAGATTGAAATCATGATTCAGTTGAAGCTAGACCACCATTGAAAACCTGGAAGCACTGGACGGCCGTTTCGTCCTAGTATGGGACTCCTCAGCAGTGCGCATCCACGCGGGGCTCGAACCCAGGACCTACTGGCTTTGCGCGCCAGCACTTAACCATTAGACCACTGAGCCGGCATCCAATCAATAATCATTAATTTTATATTCAGAATATTTTACCGATCATCAAATACTACTTTAATTAATTTAACAACAAACTTCTTTAAACCATAAAGGTAAA